TGTGACTTGTGACACTACTTCTAACCGGGGTCTGTTCAGGAGGGTGCAAATGTTACAGAAAACATTCAGATAGAAATGTATCAAGTAGAATGGATATGCTTGCCAGTCTGACAGAAAAGAGTGTCATGTCAGATCTATTCATTACATTTCTATCTGTTCTTTTCCAGAACGTTTCAACTCAGCGGAACATAGCCCCCTTATAGACTCTCTCACCCTAATATTTGACCTGTAACCCTTTGACCCCTACACACATGCATGCACACACCTAGTGCTGTACAAGGGGAGACCACACCACTGTATGGTTTGAGATACATACAGACGACTTTTGGCAGCACTACTATACCTGCACATGAAACCCCTTTAGTTTGTTAGGAGAGCCCTTATTCCTGGTTCAACACACACTAGCCACACACACTAATCGTTTACATAATTTCACAAATGCACAACAGTTGATCGATTGAGTGAATTGGGTTGGGTTGGCTTTCTGAGGATGTCTGTTGTCTCAAAGAGGAGGAAAAATTATAGAGAGAACGAGAGACAAACGGATGAGTTGATCAAGAAGTCATGTCAGAAATAGAAAGGAAAGACAAAAACAAATGGATAGGAACGTAGGATGGATGAATGATTGAGAGTAAACTAGAAACTTTGTAAATCCTCCTTTTCAGAAATCATCAGGATTTTTTTTTTTATAAACAAAATAAACCCCATAAAATGGTCATTCCTTTTATAATGGTTGGAGCACACAATCCACACAACATGCTTTAATTCAACGGCAGTGTTGTGTGTCGATGTTGGCCATTTTGGATCCGCAGTTACAATTCTGGACAAGCATGTTGGTGTTGTTGAGCCGAAATGGAGTGGTCAGTTTCCTGCCTGATCAGTGGACACCCACAGTGTCAAGTGCAAGTAGTTTTCAGCGACAGATTCATGATGAAGGGGAGAAGGGAAGACATTACAAACGCCCATGCCAGATAACAAACCATACAGTAACTCAAACCCTAGGCCTATATTTTTTTCATATGATTTAATTAATTTATTTCATATTATATGATATAACTGACTAACTGCCTTAGCGTGCCTATTATATAGTGTAGATTCTATCTATCTAGCTATCTATCTCTAGCGACCTGAGAAGTAAACAAATCATCACCTTTTCAGCCCTGCAATTACAGTATCTCACTACACTGTGTGAAACTGGGTGAAGGAGATCCCCAAAATGGCTGCCAACAGGCCAGACACAAAATGTCCGCCATATCAAAAGTAGTTTCCATTCCCCTCTCTTCCTGGGCTTTACTCACTGTTCGAACTAACTAAGCAAGGCCCAGTCCCTACTGCCTTGCTCCCAGCCCCTACCTGCCCACAGACAGCGACTAGGACTCTTTAAGGCGTAGTGTGGTTGATGCTGATCAACCACAGGGGGGGGGGGCGAGGGGGGATGGTGAGGGGTCTGGGGGTAGATGTGACTCTGAAAACAGAAGGCACTGAGGCACTGGGGTTTTTGGGTAGATAAACACCCCTCTGATGTAGGTACCCCCCCCCCCCCCCCCTCACTCTCTGGACCTACCTATACGGAGGGCAGGGGCGGTATATTTGCCCCCGCTCCTAAAACTACTCCCCTTCCCTGTTCACTACACTATACTATACTACTCTAGGCCTGAGATTGGACAGCTTGGGAGAAAGATAGAGGGAGCAGGAGAGGACAAAATACAGCAGGAGGGTAAAAAACAAAGGAAAGATGTGCTATGAAAGATAAGGATATCGTGAGTGATTGTGCAAAAGCAAAACGATGTGGGCATACCCTCTATCTATATATTTCTATCCATCTATATTAAAATGTTGTATATACACTATCTGACTTGGTCACCCATAGAAATGCAATCTATAGATATGCCATCATTGACTTGAATTGGGAGGCCTGTTCCATACATTATATTTCTATGTGGTCACTTACGTATTGTCATTTATTTATAACGGCACAACCGCTCTGCACTATAATGGTAAAGGAGAAATGTTTGTCGGATAGATCTGCATAGAGTTTGTAGTGGGATATTGTGTGGAGCTACAGTGACACAGTGCAATTTGAATCAGTGTAGCTGATTTCAATGGAGATTTTCTGAGCGCTAGCTACTTAGCTAGAATGTTTGAAATAAATACAATTATCTGTCTCTCTATAATATATAAAGTTCTATATCTCTATATATATATACTGTATCTATCATCTTAAGAGTTATGATAGCGAATATCTGTTACAATCTACAGAACTGTAATCATAGCAAAATAAATGTGTTTCATCCAAAACATCAGGAAACAATCATGTTAGCGTTCCTGTCTAAAGATTGCTCTAGAATGTACTAGAGTTTCTAGAGTCTAGACTAGAGTTTCTAGAATGTTCTCCTCTGGCTTGGTAAAGCAAGCAGCTCAATGCTAAAGATGCCATGTAAAATGAGAAAGACAGAGAGACTAGACAGCTAGTGGAGAGCTCTAGGGGATGTGAGGTGGAGCTCGTTCACAGCATAGAGATAGAAAGAGGACTCTAGGTGGATATAACCCGTTTTATCAAGTCTTCTTTCTAACTCTATGGTTCACAGCTAGCTGTTTATCAGATACTGTGCGGAGGTCTGACGGGTGGTTGGTTGGCCGGTTAATTTGGCTGTAACTGGGGCACGCTCAGCAGGACACAATGTTTTGGAACGCTCAGATAGAAATATGCTATTAAGAACAAACATGCATCTCTTACATGTAGAGTGAAGAACCATGTCGACTCTGTTAATGATATTTCTATCTGCAACATTCAATAATGTTTGGCTACTGAACGTGGCCCCGGTTACCAGTCACACCTTCTCTGTCTACCACTGAGGGGGACCTATCAGAGGTAAAGAGCTGCGTTACACAACGCTACACAGTTCTATCTGTGTTGCTCACAATCACAATCCGACATCTAACCCTACCTGAAACGTTTATGCGTGTTGCATGTATCGGACCCGGTTAAAGGCGTTTTGGAACAGTTTTTGAACAGTTTGTGAACAGTTTGAACAGAACCCAAGGAAAATAAAGGATGAAAACAAGATGGGACACAGCAGATTGAAACTCCAAAAAAACATGACAACAGATCTACGGTAAACAACTCTATCATCATCTTCATCATCCTTCATCGTTTTGCATTGACATTGATATCAGTATTTATAAGACTATCATCATCATTAACAATAAAAATCCATTCTTTAAAGAGGTTGAAGTTTTCTCTCTCCTCACAGCTCTCTCAATTCTTTCTTATTCCTCAAAACAACTTAGGAGTATCTTAGTAAAATTTTGGAGCATCTTAGGGACTTAGGAGTACTTTCAAGATAAGAAAATGGTAGCTTTAAAACCGTATTGGGCGGAAATCTAACTTAAAAAAGGTTGTCCATCAGATCCTTAGGGTGATATAGAACCAACATTACTCAATAAACAAACGCATGATGATAGACAGAGAGAGAGAGAGAGAGAGTCAGAAAAAGATAACTTCTTCAATCAAAACCTAAAATGTAAAGATTTTCTATAAACCCAATATGCCCCCCATATCCCCAACAGTAGATATTCTCTCTAGATATTATTATTTTTTAATTCCTTCATGCATCATAGTTTTGACATAAGTTTGACTCCAGAACGGATTAACAGAGGCTTGAGCGAATGCAACAGAAGAAACAAGCTCCAATGTCCAAGAAGAAGAACTAGAAGAAGAAGAAGTAATCGATAGAAGAAATACTGAAGAAATAGTCTTTTCCCTCCCTTCACTTCTTTCTTTCCTCTCCTCCCCCCATCGTTTTTCCTTTCCTGTCCTTTCTTTATCAGCAGGATGGAGGAGAGAGGAAGGGGGGAGAGAAGATAGGGGGGCAAACAAACTACGCCCCCTAAGGGTCCATAACTCCGCCCCCAGCCCCTCCCCTGTGGCCCCACCCACCGGAACAGGAAGTGATGTCACACTAGGCCCCAACCATAGGAAGTGAGGTTACACCAGGTCCGTCGTCAGCATTATCGTGAGTCTGTAACAGTAAACAGGAGATGATAAAACTCATCAAATATCAGCCATTGCTGTCATTGGCTGGTTTTTGCAGTAGAGGCGGAGCTTCCTAGTTCTAGTCCTGTCCCTTTAAGGAAAGGAACGTTTTAAAGTTAAAGTGGTTGTTCTCCCTTTTTTTCTCGTCTTTTTTTTTCAAAGTTTGTTTGTTTTTGTTTTCTGTTCTTTAGTCTTCAAGTTAGATTTTTCTGGAGGCATAGCTTGGCGTGTATAAGGATAGGGGGTCCTGGCATGGGTTTTCATTGTTGTTGTTTTAAACATGTCCGTCTAGGTTAGACCAAGAGCAGCGTTAGCTAGCTAGCGTTTAGCTATTAGCTCCTAACACTTATCAGGCTAGCAGAATAGAATGACAGAACAGCAAGAGCACCCAGGTATAGCTTAACTTAACTAACCCACCTCTCTCCTAAACAGCCTAGGACAGGTGCTTTTATTTAGCTTTCATTGGCCACTTGTAACTTAATATACATGCTCCTCCCTTCCTTTCATTCATTCGTTCTTCCTTCTCCACACCTCCGTCAGCACCTCTCCACCATCCCTCGGTCCACTCCCCCCTGGGCACGCTGAGAACTCTGGGTATGGTAGTTGAGACAGAGGAGAAGAGGAGAGGTGTGTAGTTGCGCCTTATAGCTGTCTCTCTTTGTCATGTCTGCTCTGAGTTTAGAGTCTCACACATCCACACGGTGTGCCTCCTCTCCTCCAACCATCCCTCTATCCCTCATCACTCCATCCAAGTCTGAGTCTCAGGGGTGGAGGTAGAGAGATGGAGAGACTTCTCCCAAATCCTCCTCTCCTCCTTTCCTTTCCTCACCCCCTTCTGCATCCCTTTACCCTTTATTCAAGTCTGCATAACGAAGAACAGAGGACGGGGGAGACGGAGAGACTCCTCTCCTCCCTCCATTTCCTCTCTTCCTCGACTCCCTCGTTCTTCTGTTCCTTCGCTGTGCTAGCACCAGTCGTCCTCGTCCGTCTCGCTGTAGGGTTCGTGCAGACCCTTCCGGGGGCCTCTGGGGCCTCCATGGGGGACCCGGTGATGAGGGGGGGACCGGTGGGCTGGTCCCCCTGGATGGGGGTGTTGATGTTGGGGCCCTCGCCGGTGCGGGGAGGGCGAAGACGAGCGGTAACCGTTTGGGACTCGTCGGGGGTGAGGGGGAGCAAGAGGAGGTGGTGGGCCCACGCCGCCCCCGTGCCGGGCAGTCCTGGGGGAGCGTGGGTGCGGGTTGCCGTGCGGGTGGGGGTTGCCGTGCGGGTGGGGGTTGCCATGGGGATGTGGGTTGCTGAGGCTCTGCTCGTAGGCGGGCGGCTCGTGCTGGCGCTCGTACTCGCAGTCGCGCTCGTAGAACGGGCCGCCCTCGCTCTCCAAACTATCCCCGGGAGGGGGACCGCTCCAGCGCCCGTGGCGGGGGGACCGGGGTGACCCATGGTGGGGCGGAGGTGAACGAGACCCCGACTGTTGCCGGGCCGATCTCGGAGACCCGTGCCTCGACCCTCCGTGCTCAAGTGGGGAAACGTGACGCGATGGCGGACGGTGATACCCCCCTCCGTCGTGCTCTGGGGGGGAGAAGTGTCGGGGAGAGGGGGAGCGGAGCCGTCCAGGAGGACCCGCTCCATAGGTGGGCTTGGGGTGTCGCATGGCTGGGGAGTAGGTGACGTGGGGGCGTGGCACGGCGGGGGTCTGGGGGAGCTGGCGGCGCCCGCGGCGGGGGGTGGAGGTACCGGATGTGGAGGGGACTGGGCTGCCACTCACCGAGCTACTGCCCTACAGCAAATATGGCGACAAGGCAAATCAAAAAGCACCACAAAATTAACCAACCACAGCCAACCACAAAGGAACCACGACCACAACCACACCAACCAGAGAGAAAGAGATATTAGATAGAGAGGAGAGAGAGAGAGAGAGAGATAAAAAGACAGACAGAGAGATAAAGAGAGAGGAGGAGGGGGGAAAGATATAGGTAGAGAGATAGACATAGATAAAGAGAGAGGAGGAGGGGGGAAATATATAGGTAGAGAGATAGACAGAGAGATAAAGAGAGAGGAGGAGGGGGGAAAGATATAGGTAGAGAGATAGACAGAGAGATAAAGAGAGAGGAGGAGGGGGGAAAGATATAGGTAGAGAGATAGACAGAGAGATAAAGAGAGAGGAGGAGGGGGGAAAGATATAGGTAGAGAGATAGACAGAGAGATAAAGAGAGAGGAAGAGGGGGAAAGATATAGGTAGAGAGATAGACAGAGAGATAAAGAGAGAGGAGGAGGGGGAAAGATATAGGCAGAGAGATAGACAGAGAGATAAAGAGACATACAGAGAAAAGAAAAGAGGAAAGACAGCAACATTGAAAACCATAAGAACCAAACCGGCAATGAGGCAAAAGAGCACACACACATAGAAGCCACGAGAGCCACATCAAGAAAAATGGACAGAGAGAGAAACAGTGACAAAGAAAGAAAGAAAAGAAAAGGATAACAGAAAAAGAGAAATGGATATCTGTAAGTAGTGGTAGTTAACCAACAAGGCAGAATTCTAAATCAAAGAGTATTCGTTAGATCGCTGCAGCTGCTTCTCCATTGGTTAGTTTTCGATTTCCACCAATGGGATGAGGATTAAGAACCATTAGAATCCACCTGTTCTCCATGGTGCTTGACGAAGGTCTTCTTCCACTTCCTTGAGAAAGGTGTACTATAGAGAGGAATACCTGTGGTGTGTGTGTTTGAGTGTGTGTCTGTGTGTATATGCATGTGCGTCTCATCTCCCCTCCGTTGCTGTGTGGTGCCCACCTGTCTGTGGCCCCGTCCGTCGGGCCCCTCACTAGGAGAGCGGGACCAGTGTCTGTCCCCCCGGTCGTGGGGGTGTCTGTGGTTGTACTCTGGCCCGTGTCTGTCTGGCCCGTAGCGGCCCTCCTTCTCCATGGAGCCACCGTGGTGGTGGTGATGATGGTGGTGCCTGCGGTCTTTGGCTCGACCGCGTTCGCGTTCACGCTCCTTGGGGGGCAGTTCTCCAGACTGGGTGGTGGTGCTCAGGTCTGTGCCCAACCCTGCAAGAGGAGGGGGGGGACATATTTTTTATGCCATAAAGTTTCTTCTGAAACTCTACTCCTTAAACTTTAGCTTTCTACTCTCAAACCTCTGATATAACTTTACTTTTCTACTCTCAAACGTTTCTTTACTTAACGTCTCCTGAAACTTTACTTTTCTCCTCTGAAAAGTTTTTCCAAACTTTACAAAAACGTTCCTTTCTGGTAGCTTTAACTTAATGGTTGCAGAATTTCCCAAACATCCCAGGTTTTCCCAAAATCCCAGTTGGAAGATTCAGGAGGGAACAAGCAGGAAATCCAGAATCCTCCAAACCATTGAGATAAAGACTATTTATCTAAGGGAAACCAGGGCCAGTATCCACAAAACATTTCAGAGTAAGAGTGCTGATCTAGAATCAGCTCCCCCCTGTTCATTTTATATTGTTCATTATGACCAGAAAGGCAATGGGAAACCTGATCAAAATGCTCTAGCATCTCTCTCACCTGTGTCTGTGTCCGTCTATCTGGTGAGGGACCTCTGTAAGTGTGTGTGTGTGTGTGTATGTGTGTGTGTGTGTCTATGTGTGTGTGTGTGTGTGTGTGTGTGTGTGTGTTTGTGTGTGTGTGTGTGCGACGTGCATACGTCTCTTCATCTCTCTCACCTGTGTCTGCGTCTGTGTATCTGGTCAGGGACCTCTGAGAGGTGCGGTGGCTCCTGTCCCTCCTGTCCCTGCGTTGCCCCCCTCCTCCCCCACCGTGCCTCCCCTCCCCTTCCACCCTCTCCAGGCTGTAGTCATCCAGCCTCACCCCCCTCTCCCTGCCAGAACGCCCGTGGACCAGAGAGGAGGTGGACCGACGCATGGGGCTGGTGTCCGTTATGGTCTGAAGAATGGAGAGGGGGAGGAGAAGGGGAGGAGAAGGGGAGTAGAGGGAGCAAGATGTATAAAGGGAGGAAAGAGATGGAAGTGAGAGGGAGAGGAAGGGATAGATAGAGAGATGGAGAGGGATATAAGTTTACCTAGAGAAAATAGGAAGAAGCAGAGAAGAGTGCGGAGATTAGAAAGAGATAATGGGCAGAAAATAAGAAACAGTCAAACTCCCTCTGTACAGGAATATGTAGTAGTGGTAGTGTGTAGTGTGGGAGTGTCTGCTTGTGTTAATGCACTTGTCTGTGTGGGAGTGTCTGTGAGGGAGTGTCTGTGTGGGAGTGTCTGTGAGGGAGTGTCTGTGTGGGAGTGTCTGTGTGGGAGTGTCTGTGTGGGAGTGTCTGTGTGAGAGTGTCTGCTTGTGTTAATGCACTTGTCTGTGTGGGAGTGTCTGTGAGGGAGTGTCTGTGTGGGAGTGTCTGTGAGGGAGTGTCTGTGTGGGAGTGTCTGTTGTGGGAGTGTCTGTGTGAGAGTGTCTGCTTGTGTTAATGCACCTTGTCCTGTGTGGGAGTGTCTGTGTGGGAGTGTCTGTGTGGGGGAGTGTGCATTTGCAGTGTGTTGCATCTGATGTCTTTGTGAGAGTGTACACCATCCCAAAAGATCCCTATATCAACCCATTCCTCACTAAACCCACAACCCCAAGCACATCCAAATACAATACCATGCTTCCCTACTATGAGAGAGCGACAGGCAGAGAGAGAGAGAGAGAGAGAGAGAGAGAGAGAGAGAGAGAGAGAGAGAGAGAGAGAGGGAGAGAACAAGCATAGACCATGCCTCACATGCATCCAATAGCACGTATGCAGAAGCGTGTATGCATCCAGAAGGATTTATTTTAGAGACCGTACTAGCATTCAATACCAACACCCACAGTCATATACAGTATCTACAAGCATGGAGAACACCTTTATCAGCAGGCAGACCTAGGAGCAGACCTCTTCAAATCATTCAGGTCTACAAGTCCCTCGGTCATGTCATGGGGAAACCAGACCAGACAAGCCCAATGAGTATATGGACAAGCCATGCATACTCCTCAAGTAGCTGGCCATTCAACTCACACACACAAATACACACACCCACTGAGCTCATAAGCTGCATTATGTTGTTCAGACTGGCTTCCATATGTAGCTTAGCTATGAAGCATGGCATATCATGTGCAGTAATCAGACACTCACACACACACACACAATTGGCTTCCAAAGAGCGTCCAATATCCAATATGGTATACCATGCATGGTATGACTGACATGACATGCCAAGGCTATGTTTATGTATTGGTCAACAATTTCCATCTAGTGATATCATGCTTCAACATTTGCTGTTGACCCAGAGGCAATGCAAGAGGCAATCGCAAACTCAAACATACAAAGACAGCAGACAGACAATCGCAGACAGACAGACAGACAAGCAGACTCTCCTTCTAGACCATGTGGACCAACACTGCAACACAGGACAGGAGGGGGGAGGGGGGGGGGGGGGGGCAGCACAAAACATTACTGGGACAAAGGGATCAGAGTGAGAGAGAGAGAAAGAGAGAGAGCGAGAGAGAAAGAAAAAGAGAGAGCAAGAAGATCTCTATACATATATAGTATATAAGAGAGAGAAGATAAGATATAATTAGAGCTAGCTATAGGAGTAGATACACGATCGAGCGAGCGAGCCGCTCGCATCTCTCTCGCTCCGCTCGTATTCGCTCTATTCTTACTAGCTCGATCGCGCGCTCTCGAGATGAGAGCGCGAGCGAGACCGCCCACGCTCTTTCTCCCTACCCCCAGCTCCGCCCGCGCGCCGTGCTTTCTCTATCCGCCCTCGCGCGCGCTCTCCTCCCTCTCTCGGTGGCGCGCCCCTGGGTCCTTCACCCCCGCGATTTGTCTCGTCGCGCTCCCTCCCATCCACGCCCGCTCGCTCGCCGCTCTCTAGCCACGCCCGCGGCGCTCCAGGGGTACATACACTGAGGTGGTTATGTCCACGGGCCTCTCTCTTTTCGTCTCACACCAATCCCATCGTCCAGACAGCACACAGAGAGCAGTCGTAGCAAGTGCCACCCACCCAGACGTCCTGAGCCACGGAGAGGAAAAGAGGGAAAGGAGATTAGGGAGAGGGAGAGTAGAGGCAAGATATTAACGGCCGGGCTAGGCACGGCCGGGAAGGAGCAGAAGGGCGCGGCGCGTCAGAGGCGCGTAAAGGACGGTATCGGCCCGTAACCGGGCGGGAGAAGAAGGGCGCAGGCAGCGGCCGGGAGCGGAGCCGTCGGGACGCGGCGCGAAGGGCGCGGCGCCGGCCGGGCTCTGCGCCTTCGGGCGCTGCGTGGCCGGGCAGCGGAGACGGCACGTGTCGCGGCGCGGCCTGTCGCGGCACGTCCGGCGCGGCCCCGAAAAGGCAGGGCCCGGCCGGGCGCAGGGCGCCGCAGGCGCGGCGCGGCCGGGCGAGTACACGGCCGGGCGCGTCCCGTCCCGGCCCGGCCGGGCGCGGCGACACCGGGTGCGGCCGTAAGGTGGCGCGGTCGCGGTCTCTGCCGGTCTCGGCGCACGTCGGGCCTGCGCTAAGGGAGGAGAAAGGAAGGGAGAGAGAGGAAGGGGGGGAGATGAGAGTAAAGAGAGCGCAAAAACAAACAGCACCGGAGGACAGAGCCATTGGGCACAGCATAGCCACCAAGACCCAGGGAGAGAGAGAGATGGAGAGAGGAAGGGGGGAAAAGGATGAGTGGGGAGGAGGAAAGGGATGGGTATAGAAAGAGAGATGGGGTTGGTATGGGAGAGATGGGTGAAGGGGAGGGATGGGAAACGGAAGAAGAACGGGAGGTAAAAAAGTTGGGAAGGAGGTAGAGAAAGAACATGATGAGGGATGGAGGGAAGGGAGGATGAGACATTAGCGGGCAGGGAGGTTAAAAAGGAAGAAGAGAAGAGAGTAGAAAGAGAGAGAGAGATCCCAGTTAATTGATGAAGGGCCAACGCGCACACACAAAAGTGAGGAGGGTGAGAGAGAGTGAGAAAAAGAGAGACGACAAAAAAGGTCGCTCACTGACACACACACACAACACACACACACACACACACACACACACACACACACACACTTACCGCAGCAGCGTGTACACTCTGTAGGGCAGAGCAGTGTTAGACACAGTCAGTCAGGAGAGCACAGAAGGTGCTGTTTCATACTTTAGAGTCTATAGGCTATTAGGTTGTGTTCCAAATGGCACCCTACTCCCTACAAAGTGCATTACTTTTGACCAGAGCCCTACAGTATGAGATCTGGTCAAAAGTAATGCACTACAAAGGGTATAGGGTGCCATTTGGGATGTGACCTTACACTATCGCACTACAGATGCCACACTAAAGCTTTTCAGATACAGTATAACACAGCACATTTCATTATTAAACAGTACTAAGCTTCTATGCTACCAAGACAACACACACACACACACACACACACACACACACACACACACACACACACACACACACACAC